TACCAGCAACAGTCAGTCTCTAGTTTGTTTGTTTGTTTTTGTTTTCGGAGCTGAGGAACGAACCCAGGACCTTGTGCTTGCTAGGCAAGTTCTCTACCACTGATCTAAATCCCTAACCCCCAAGTCTCTAGTTATCATTGGGCCAATGCTAGGTTTTGTTCTTTTCTTTCTTTAAAAAATTTTTTATTTATTTATTTGGGACTAGACAGATAGTTCTGCGGCTTAGAACTCTTGCTGCTCTTGCAGAGGGCTGCGTTTGTTTCTCAGCACCGACATGGCAGTTCACAAACATCTGTAACTCCAGTCCCAGGAGATCTGATGCCCTCTTTTGACCTCTCTGGGCACCAGCATACATGTGGTGCATGTATATACATGCACACAAAACAGAACAACCAAATCGAAAAACAAAACAAAATAAAACATCAACAACAACAAAAAAACCACCTCAAAATGTATTTATTTGTTCTTATGTGTATGAATGTTTTGCTGTATGTGTGCATGTGTACCACATGTATGCAGGACCTACAGAGGCCATGGGGAGAGTGTCCGTGTCATATCTCTTGGAACTGGAGTTACAGATGGTTGTAAGGCTCTATATAGGTGCTGGGAACAAAACCCAGGTTCTCTGCAAGAGCAGCAAGTGTTCTTAACCACTGAGCCATCTCTCCAGCCCCTAGATTTTGTTTTCTAAAGGGAGGAATAGCTTCTTCTTCCTACACCTTTATGAAAAAGACCAAAAGATTTAGTGAGACATTCACATTTCGAGAGAGAAAAAAGGGAGCTGGCTCAGTTGGTAACGTTCTTGCCATGCAAGCATAAGCCCCTGAGGTTTATCCTCAACACCCACATAAAAACACAAAACCCACATGCAGTGGCACACGCCTGGAATCCCAGTACCAGGGAGGTGGAGACAGGAGGATCCCTGGAGCGAAATAGCCAGCCTCGCTGAAGTGGGGAGCCCTGGGCTGGTGAGAGACCCTGTCTCCAAAACTAAGTTGGAGAGCAACTGAGGAAGATACTTGGTCAATCTCTGGTCCCCACATGTGCACTATGTGCATCTGCACACGTTATTTACATGTATGCACACACAGGGCTCCCCCCCTCTCCCCTGAGACAGGGTTTCTCTGTGTAGTTTTGGTGCCTGTCCTGGATCTCACTCTATAGACCAGGCTGTCCTCGAACTCACAGAGATCTGCCTGGCTCTGCCTCCCAAGTGCTGGGATTAAAGGCGTGCGCCACTGCAACCCAGGGCCTTTTTTTTTTTTTTTTTTTTTTTAGCAAGCCTATTTCTATGGAGAAGGGAAACAGGCCCCCGGCTGTGCGATGATATGCAATCAAGGTGTCCTGGAGAACCCATCTTCCCTAGGCATTCACAGCAGCTGCCTTATCGCTCACCACACAGGCCTGAGCCTTCTGGGCAGGCTTCTCCCAGGAAGTCAGCGGTCTCAGCCTGGCTGGCTATGCACAGCCCAGCCCTGTTCCTGGGAGGAGGCCAGCTGGGGTCATCCTATCCACTTCCCCCTTATTTGGAAGGCTCTTGCCCGTCTTTGTATTCAGGGCTTAATTTGAACAAGTTCAAAACCGCCTTGCAGAGTTCAAGATCATTATGACAGGCAAAAACGCAGTGAAATAGCACACCACTGCCAGTTAATTATGAAAAATCCCTTAATAGCCAACATTATTATAAATTATATACCCATTATGACAGGAACAATTGAACTCTCTGTTTTTCTTGCCCAGCATGGGAGCTCTAAACAATGCTGTCTTGTTGGGGAGAATGACCTGGATGTACTTGGAGGCTAGTTGGTAGTTCCCGTGGGCTACCTTTGCTGACCACAGGGACTGTGGACCTCTGAGGACACCCTGCTTCTGGGAGACGTGAGGCAGTGGGCTGGCCAGGCCTAAGAACCAACCTTGTCTCATACCCACCATCTTCTCCACTGCTATGGCTACAAGAATCTTTCCCACAAGGCCTCCCAACGACCTCTTCCCTGGTCCTTGCTCTTCTCCCTACCTATTCCTGGAAAGAATGCCTCTGAGCAACCTCCCTTATTTATCCTTCTTATACCTCCAGACCTGTGGCCCATGAATCCCTTCTGTTTTTACTTGCAGTCAGATAGATAAAGTAAGGGAAAACTTTAAAACAAACAAACAAAAACAAACAAACAAAAAACCAAACTACCATACATACTATGGAACTCCTTCCAGACCAAGATGTGAGATAGAGAACACAGGTCTTCCCTTAACTCAAAACTGTTACTGTGAAGCTGGCTATGGAGGCATATTCCTGTCATCCAAACACTCGGGCAGCAGAGGTAGAAAGAGTAAAGTGAGTTCAAGGCGAGCCTCAGCTGCAAAGCAAGACCCTGCCTCAAAAAAAGCAAGAAAAAAACAATTAAGGGTCACTGAGCCCAAGACCTCCTGTGTGAAAGACACAGGCTGAGGCTAACCCGTGTAGGGCTAACTTAGCAGGCCTGAGATAGCTCTGGACTCTGAAGGTTGGCTGTACCCAGGACGTCAGGTGTGTGCAGGGGACAGCACCAAGCCTCGAAGAAGCCACCGACAGAGAGTCCCTCAAATTAGCTTTCCAGTTATGCAGACTGTTCCCTGTCCCCTTTATCCCAGGGTCCAAGAAGGTTCTGGGCTGAGAGTGGCACCCAAATTAGACCCAAGACACTCCCTCCTCCCTCCCTGCCTTAAGGAACTGGCTCTCATATAGCCCAGGTTAGCCTTGAGCTTGTTATGTAGCCTAGGATGGCCTTGAACTTCTCACCTTCCCTCTCTTGAGTGCTAGGATTACAGCGTGTGCCATCACACCCTTTTATTTGGTGATGGAGAATTGAACTCATGGCTTCATGCATGCTAGGTAGGCACTCTGCCAACTGAACTACATCCCCAGTCTGAGAGACTGCCTTTAAGAAAAAGAATAAAGAGGTGGGGAAAGTTGGAGAGATAGTTTAGTGGTTAAGAACAGTGGCAGCTCGCCGGGCGCTGGTGGCGCACGCCTTTAATCCCAGCACTCGGGAGGCAGAGGCAGGCGGATCTCTGTGAGTTCAAGGCCAGCCTGGTCTACAGAGTGAGTTACAGGAAAGGCGCAAAGCTACACAGAGAAACCCTGTCTTGAAAAACAAAACAACAACAACAAAAAAACAGAACAGTGGCAGCTCTTCCAGATGACCCAACTTCAATTCCCAGCACCCACATGGTGGCTTACAGCTGTCTGTAACTCCAGTCTCAGGGGATCCAAATCCAGACTCCAGATCTGGCCTCTGAGGGAACCAGGCATGCCTGTGGTCCACAGACATACAGACAGGCAAAACAGCTATCCACATCAATGACCACATGAATGCCCAGTATGGCATGATCCCTAAGGGTGCAGTAGGAACACAAACACCTTAACAGTGACCAACAGCTCTCTAGACTTACGGCCCCCTCAACAAGAGGGGAACCATGTCTGGTACTGGAAACCCTGCTAACTGCTCAGAGCTAATGAAGCCGTGCTCATTGGAGGAAAATCTGCAACTACGAATTTACTAGACCAGCATAATCCCAACGACAATCCATAAACATTTGTCCCTATACCCACGGACAGATGTAGTCTTCACCCCTCATCAAAGAGACTTGTCATGGCAACAGAGACCATTAAAGAAAACCATAACCAGTCAAAATGCAGACTTTTGGAGCCCAGTCCCAGCAGATAGAGCTACAAAACACTCCCACAGTCAAAGCTCAGAAAACATTGCAGAAGATGGGGTAGAAAGATTGTAAGAGCCAGAGGAGCAGGGTGTTTGCTGTGAGATCGTGTCTCTTAGTAAAGTCAAAATCTACACCCATAAAGTCTCACCAACAGGACTGCCCAAAGTCAGGCTGAACAAGTACCACAGCAATGCACATAACAAAATGGGCATATACATATATACACACAATAACAGTTGTGATATTTTATTTGTGCTCTAAGAAAGCTTGCCTGTAGATTAGAGGAAAAAGCCAGTCATTATATTAAACAGAAGTCAGGCAATGGTAGCACATGCCATTAATCCTATCACTTGGTAGGCAGGGATCTGTCTGGATCTCTGTGCGTTCAAGGCCACACTGGGGAACAGAGCCTGGCATGGTGACACACGCCTTTAATCCCAGCACCAACCATAGAGGTCTGGAGGGCTGTACAGACAGACAGGAAGCGACAGAGCTGGGCAGGAAGAGGAAGTGATGTAGCTGGGCTGAGAGCGCGAATGAGAGAACAGAACAGAAAGGCACATAGGTGTGGGTAGACAGGAGTAGCTCTCTCTCTCTTTTTTTTTTTATTGGAAGCTGAGGAGTTGGTGAGGTGAGGTTAGCTGTGGCTCTTCCTATTTCCCTGATCTCTCAGGTTTTTACCCCTGTATCTGGCTCCTTGTTTTTTATTTAATACGACCATTTAGAAACTCATCTACAAACAATTAGTGAGAAAAGAGGCCGTGAATTTGAAGAAGATTGGGGAGGGGTGTATGGGAGGGTTTGGAGGGAGGAAAGAGAAAGGAGAAATGTTGTAATTATATTGTGATCTCAAAATCAATTTTGAAAAGAAAAGAATACAGTGTTCAGGATGCCATCAGAGGGGCCTCAGGCAAGGCGTGGCAGATCTCTTCTGCTTCTGGCAGCCACCTGGAGGCCTGATGGTCTCAGAGCTTGCCCAGGTAAGAGGCTCCTGCCCTGCTTACTCCTTCCCGCCACAGCAAGGACTGTGTGATGGCGGAGCCTCAGCCTGCCTGTTGGTGTGAATGAGAAATGTCCCCCACAGCCTCTGGCATTTGAAACTTGGCCCCTGGTTGGTGGATCTGTTTGGGGAGCTTTAGAGGATGTAGCCTTGCTGAAGGAAAAATTCCTCACTGGGTGCCGGCTTTGAGAATAACACGAGACCCTGTTTGCTTCCAGTTTGCGCTCTCTGTCTTGTGCTTGGGGTTTAAGAGGTGAGGGAGGTCAGCGGTCTGCTGCCGCCATGCTGTTGCCATGCCTACCCAGCATGGCGGGCGGACTCACCCCTCTGAAACTATACGCCCGAACAAACGCTTCCGTAAGTTGCCTTAGTCACGCGTTTGATCACAGCAACAGACAAGCAACTAATGTGGTGTGTATTAGAATTGCCGGGGGACCACAGAAGTCCAAACAAAGGCCAAGGCTGAGTGAGGATAGAGCTCAGTTGTCAGAGAGCTGGCCTAGCACTCCACAAACCAGGCCTGGTGGCTCCCACCTGTGGGCCCAGTACTCATGAAGTTGGCCTGGCTGGTTCTTCAGCCAGTGGTTTTATTTAAAACACTCAGGTGATGGGGACACATGGGCAAGGCACAGAGCTGGAGCTGAGAGAGAGCCGAATGCTATCTTGGGGTGCTTCCCACCCCACTACCTTTTGCCTCTTTCTCGCAGAAGACCTTGATTCCTGACCACTTGTGGGCCCGACCTACTAGAACGTTCCCTCCTTTTGTGGAAAGACTTCAGCTACCAGCAATGGGCATGTTCCCTGGGGGGATGGGGAGTACTGAACTCTGCATCCATCCTTAGTGGTGGCCTGACCGTGGCCCAGTAGGTAAGTGCTGGGTCCAGCCTGGATCTTCAGGGCTGCAAAGCAAAAGCATCTTCCCCCAGAACCTGCTGTTCTTGAAAAGCAGTTACTGGTTAGTAAATATAAGCCATGCTTGGGGCAGAGGCTCAGGGCCTGTTCACTCATTAGTTACTGTGTATGTGATAACCTCATAATCCTTTATGAGATGTTTCAGTTTTGTTTAAAATAAAAAGAAACTAGGGTTGGGGATGTAACTCCATGGCTAGAATGCCAGCCTAGAGTACCAGAGGCCCTGGGTTGGGTCCCCAGAATCCTATAAGGTAGGGTTGGTAGGGGCACACAGGGCTGTAATCCCAGTTACTTCAGAGGCCAGAGTTGGAGGACCAGGACTCATCAGGCTAGCTCCAGGCTCACCAGGCCTATATCATGCTAATAGCAAGTAGATACCCACAAATCCCACAAATTCATATGTCAATACACTTGTCAAATATGTTTTAAATTATTTATGGGAGTATGGGAAGACGGACGTGTCCATTGTCTGCAAGAGTCACAGTGCTGCCTGTGTACAGCACCAGGCCCCGGAGGATGCTGGTGACTCTGCCCTCTGTCCCTTCCATGAATGCGGGCTTGCGTCAGAGGGAATGAGGACAGGGAGTGTTTCTGATAGGCTTTCTGCTCACCAGGCTCTGGGGCAAACAAAAGCTTGAAGCCAGCTCTGGCCTGGCTGGAAAGGAAGACATACACACAGGAAGTCCCGAGCAAGGCGGGACAGGATGTGCTGTCCACCGTCATCAGCTCTTTCTTACCCTCCGCCCGTCTCTGCTGGATCATGTTCTGCTTTGCAGGCCAATGGACTGTGTCAGAGATTAGAATTCTTTAATAAATAATTCTTTCGTTGATTCTCTTCCTTTCTGCGACCAGTGTTTACAATTCAGGCAGGTTTGTTGTTTCTGAGCATTTTGTTTTAACCGTTTCTGAGGATTCCACTCGGGGAGAGGGCATTCAGGAGGGACTGCCAGGTGACCACCTGGGACTGTACGCCAGGTATTAGGAGACGGAGCATGGGATGTGGTTTTTGTCCCAAATAGAACCGTCTAGATTTTGTGCCAAGTGTAAGTGTTAGTGATTTACTATTAGATGACTTTGCAAAGCTAGGTGTGGGGGCCATCGAGATGGTTCAGTAGGGAAGGTCACCAAGCTTGATGTCTCAGGTTTGATCTCTGGGACCCACAGGGTGGAAGGAGAAAACCCACTCCTGTAAGTTGTTCTCAGACCTCCACACTTGCTCCAGGGTGTATATGCCCTCCAAAATTAGAGCTAAAAACAAAGAAGTTGGGTGTGGTGGAAGACATCGCCTATAAACCCAGCACTGGGGGGAGGCTGAGGCAGGAAGATGCTAAGTTTAAGGCCAGCCTGAGCAACATGGTGAGACTCTGTCTCAAAACACAACAGCAACATAGCAGAACCCAACCGAACCAAACACGCGATTGAACAAAACCCCAAATGGTTCTGTGCCGAAGAGTGGGTCCAGCTTCTGTCTACCTGTGCCTTCCTCTAGCATGGTGGCTCTCAACCTTCCTAATGCTTCGACACCCAACCACAAAATGACTTTTGTTGTTACTGCATAGCTGTAATTTTGCTACTGTAGGAACCGTAATGTAAACATCTGTGTTTTCCAAGAACTGCTGCTCTAGAAGCATACATCCATCTTTACCAGGTGTATTCCCCAGACAGTCTCACATGGTAGCCTAGGACAGCCTGAAAGTCACAGTAATCCTCCTGTCTTATGAAAAGCAGCTACTACCAATGCCTGGCTTTATTGTACATCTTTCCAAAGACCATTTGTGCATCTGTAAACACAATTTTTTTTAGGGGTGGTGGTGGTTTTGAGACAGGGTTCCATTGTGTAGCCCTCGCTGTGCTGAAGCGCTATAGACCAAGCTGGCCTCGAACTCACAGAGATCCACTTGCCTCTGCCTCCCAAGTGCTTGGGTTAAAGGCGTGCGCCACCACTGTCCCACCTGCATTTTTTTTTTTTTAAATTGAGGTAAGCAGGGTATAGTGGCATATACCTGTAGTCTTAGCAACCAAGAATCAGAGGCAAGGGGATCAAAAGTTCAAGCCATCCTCAGCTACACAGTGAGTTAATGGCTAGCCTGGGTTACATTAAACCCTGTGAAGTTTAGTATAGTAGGACTGGAGTGGGGGTGGACCTGCAGCATAATGTCCATGGTGGTCAACCCTTAACTAACTTTCTTTCTTTCTTTCTTTCTTTCTTTCTTTCTTTCTTTCTTTCTTTCTTTCTTTCTTTCTTTCTCTTCCTTCCTTCCTTCCTT